CTCACTTGTCCGTTCATGTTTTTGGCCTACGAAATTTTAACTTCTGCCTTCAATCTACATAAAGTGAGCTTCTCTTTAACAAACTGTTAATCTCCATATCTGATTTCACTCACATGGCATTCATTGTTTCAACTTCCTTGTTAATTTTCTTAGTGAAAACCTATTCAAATTGCCTGGCAAGGTCTTTAACGCATGGAGCGCGGGGTGGTAGTTTGTGAAACAGCGTTTGGGCAAAACGTCGGTTGAAGAATTCTCGCTTATCTGAGCGAGAATTATTAGACTTTTAGGCTAATAATTAGTTTATTAATAATAGGCTCTATTAGGCTTTTTGAGAATGCAGCCTAGAGAACGCGAAATGCTGGATAGATTTTTGCGAAGCCCTTTCTTCAGAGCTGGAGGAGACACGGAGAGCGTAAAGATTGCAGATTCGTAGGAAACCCTTTTCATAATTGTATGTATGCGCACTCTACTTTGCTGTTTGAATTCGGTGGATGACGGGCAGTTTTGGTTTGCCCACGAAAAAGCGATTGTGTCGTAGCCTTTAAAGCGGATAAATCACTCCGCAATTTTGTGCTAGATCTCCTTTTTTGCAAGAGTGTCAAAATGTTCTTTTCTGATTCTGCCTTGGGCGAATAGTGATCATGCCTATTTCATGCCTGAGAAACATCCCATCATCCACTTCATCCATCGAGACAAAAGCGTCAACGTGATTGTCATTCAGCGATGTGGACGAAGTGGATAAAAACATTTCGCGTGTACCTGAAGCACACTGCGCTCAAAATGCAAGCAACATCCGGATTTCATTGCGTTTTGTAAGGTAGATTACTAGCCAATTACTCAAAAATTACCTTGACAGCTTTTACACTTCCCGGGAAGTTTACGATAAGTGTCTTGCCGCGTATGCCTGCCACTGCTCTACTCAAAGCGGCCATAGGGGTAGCTGCTAATGAATGGGAATGTAAAGCCACTTCCAAACCCGAACAGCGACGGTCCACAACATCTATTGTTGCCTAGAACTCAAGTTGTGTAAGTTGCCCATAAAAGCTGAGTAACTAATCCAACTTCAGGTGTAACATCCCTGGCAGCAAATCCAGTGCCACCAGTAGTTATGATCACATCTGAAAACCAAAAATTTGTGCCTACGGATGAAATCTAAATCTTACCACTGTCACTACACCGCTCTACCAACAACGCTTCGATTAAAGCTCGCTCATCGGGTACAGTCATAGCAGCAACGACTTTTGCGTCTCGTAACCTAAAATCTCAAGATCCCCTGTTTGTCCCGCAAAATACTTAGAGACCATAATGGTAGAGTAAAAAAAACCTTACTTTGTGGAGGAGGTAATTAATTCAACAATTGCCGGCCCGCTTAGATCTTTTCTTCTCCCTTCAGCACTAGAGTCACTAACTGAAAAGTATTGAATAACGCCGCAATTTTCTTGAGTTAGCGTTTCGACTTGATGATACTGTACCACTGCAGAGACACGGGAAAATATTTTTCACTATAAGCTTCAAGCCTCGGCTTCCTTAGAGTAAGCATTTTATGTCATATCGCTTGACGGAATTAA